AGTTCCCCGGGGAAAAGGGCAGAGGCTTTTCTGCCCTCCACAGAAGGAACCAGTCTGCAGTTAGGGCCTTGCCCCTTTCCCCCAAGAGTCCCGTGATTATATAAGCATCATCTGTCATTGATGCTGGGGTCCTGGCCAAGACCTCCCAATGTGGGGCTGGGGTGAACAGCGAGGCCCTGGCCTGGAGTTCAACCACGCTTTGTCCTAATGGCACTTTATAAAAACACTGTCAGCCTGGTTTCTGGGATAACAGGGTTACAAGCCTCTGAATGACTAGCTGTGGCCCTCAGAACTAACTGGATCAAATGCAGACTTTGGGATGATATTAAGTGCACCCAGGCTGGGTGGAGACCTAGACAAAGCATGAGCACTGCCACCGAGAAAGGACATGGGGCCTGTGGAGTCCCCCTGCTGCCCAGCTGCCCCCACACCCCAGATTGAGGTGGGATGTAGGTTTCAGATGAGGTTAAAATACAAATGGAGGAGGTGGAAGGGTGGATGGGTCCCGAGATTTGAATCACAGTGAGGAATGGATCACTTCCTCTTCACTCAGAATCCAGCTGCTCCCTAAATCTCAGCAATCCCAGCTGTCTAAATCTCAGTGACCCCCAAATGGGTGCCTCTAGCCCACATCTTTCTTGAGCTCCAGACTCATTTGTCCAGTGGCTGCCTGGACATCACTGCACCATGTCTCCAGGCACAGGATATGAGTGTGCCTCTGCGCCCCCCCCCCCCCGCCCCCGTCTCGGGCTCCCTATATTGGCTGAGCATGTTACCTTCTACTCAGGCCTGTGTCCTCCAGAAATGGTGCAGCTGCGCCTGATCAATAGTAAGTCCTAAGTATCTCCCAAGTTCTATGGCTGCTACTTCTGGGTTCTGGGTTCTGGGTTTGAATCCTGCAGCACCATCTGCTTGCTGTTTAATTGGGTAAGCAACCCTCTCAGTCTGTTTCCACACCTGTAATATTGGGATTGTGTAAGATGTCAGAATCAGAATGGAGTCATTTTTGTTAACAACAAATCCTGACAAATAGAGACAAGGGAAGGCCATGAAGAGAAAGATTCTCGTGCATAAATGCCTGATGACAAAAACTACCACGGAAGACTTGAAAACCACAACCTTGCACAAAAAATGCTTCTAGGAGGACACCCAGTACCTGCCTGTCCAGCCTTGGACTGGCATCCCTCCTGCAATAGACCCTTGTAACCAAGGATGGTTACTTCAAAGCAATGATGTCATCCTCACTTTCCCTTTAAAAACCTCTGTGTTCCTTCACTTCCCTGAAGGCACACGTGCTTTTTACTATGGCAGGCACACTCCAGTTGCAGTGCCCTACTCCTGAATAAACACTTTGTTTGAGAGCCCCTCTCTGGTCGTTATTTAGGTTGACAGGATAATCACAGTAAGTGCTCCATAAGGTGGTTCTGAGGACTGATGTTAATACTCTAAAGCATCTAGAGAGGGACTGACTGACGGCAGGCAGAGTTGAGTCCGGCCTCGCTGCTCCCCGCAGGCGCCCATCAACCCGCCCTCCCTCATCGTCCCCCCTCCAGGGCGTCCCGCCCAGACACGCAGGTGGTCACCGCGCTTCCTGAATAAACGCCAGCGCCTTAATGATGGCGTCAGACCTTTAGCTGGGCATTCAAGTCTCTCTCCCGCCCCCCTCACATTCCCACATGCCCTGGACGCAGGCGCCCTCGCCGCGTCATTTTCCAGCCGCGCTTCGTGCCCCCGCCCTCCCTGCAGTGGGAATCTCTAGCTCTGGTGACTGGGCTAACGTGGGCGCACCCAATCTGCCCGGCACGTCACCTACTTTACCTCGTTGGTTCCCACGACGATCCCCTGAGTCTGGTCCTCTTTGGCTGTTTCCCGGAAGCTCGGTGATTCTCTAGATGGAACAGCTAGCCGTGGAGCCAGGATTTCAGTCCGGGTGCGGCCGTCCCCAAAGTCCATGTGGTTCCAGTTACTCCACACAAGCCTCTCATGAGTAGATGACATTTCAGAGGAAAAAGGGGTCTGAGGTTTACCGAGATAGGAAAGGATGGGAGGAGGGTGTATGTCAGCATCTGCCCAGGGCAGAACACGTGGGGGCATCTGCCTGTGTCTGTTTTACTAAGCATGAACGAGTTTCCACAATTCGCTCTCCGACAGCTGAGGTGATGAACTAGGGTTGGTTCCAAGGGCAACCCTAGTTCAGCTGTGAGGGGAGGTGAACTGGGGTGGAGCCGGTGTGGTCACAGTGGGCTAGCATTGTCAGAGACCTCTGGCTCCCCTTGCTGTCAGGGGTCCCCATTCCCTGCACCTCCTTCTTCAGCTTTGCCACTGTGGGTCCAGCCCCGGGGCTCTGCACTGAAGGATGCTGCCCTTCTGTAGGTCCCCCACATCCTGAGGGTCGGCAGTGGGGTCTGCTCTTCCTCCCGGGCTCCTCACCTCCCATCTATCCTCCCTTCTCTGCTGACTCAGCCCAAGGCCAGCTGCAGGGACCGACTTACAAAGTCCTCTGACCCCCCAGCTCCCAGGGTTACATGAGGCCTACAGTCATCCTGGTGTGTCACTCCATGTCCTGTCTCAGGATCCATCCCTAACCAGCAAGGAACATGAGTTCAACAGATGTTAAATGAATGAATAAATGGGTACTTGAATAAATATTTTGGCTATTTTATAGCATCAAGTATCAGACCTAAAACTAAACGTGATCCTATTTTTCTAACCTTCCCTAAAGGATAAATGATTAACGTATATTGCAACATGTTCTCCCAGAGGAGCCCCATGATCACAGCATTTTAAGGTAACACAGATGGCTCTCAATGGAGTGATTAAATTACATCTACGTTACATTAGTCGGTGATAAAAGCGTTGTGACTTTTTGCGTGTTTTGATGGTGACTTTATTTTAGAGTATTGTAACTGTGTATTCTCCTCCCTGAGGAGGAAGTGGGGAGGAAAGGCAGGGATGCTGGCAGGTATTGGATGTGCATCCACCATGAACTTCAGCCTCTGTAGCCCATGGGTGCTGGGCCACTGGGAAATGGTGGAATAGCTGGCTGAGTGGCAATTGCTCCTGTCAGGAAATGTAAGCTAATATTATGTCCAACTGAAAAAGGAAGCCAAGAAAACAAAAGCAGATGCAGAATGGCAATCTGAAAAAAAATTGTTTTATATTTTATTATTTAATTTTATTTTGTACAGATGAAGCCTCACTATGTTGCCGAGGCTTGTCTCAGACTCCTGGGCTCAAGCAATCCCGATCTGCCTTACCTGTGCCCCCATCCCCTTCCTCCACCTCCCAAAGTGCCCTTGGATTAGAGGCATGAGCCACTGCCCCCACTGCAATCTGAAATTAATGCCTGTGTCAAGTTGAGAGACTGCTCAAAATATTGGAGAAGTTCAAGACTGAATGTCCCTATGCTACACAGAGGTCTAATGAGATCTTCCAAACATCAACCAACCAAGTGAAGTTACCCCCTTGAATGAATCTAACTTTCAAAATCTTTCCGCCAAGTTAACCTTTAGCACTGCACTGGCATCCAGGATTCCTTTTCCTGTGGAGGCCGTGAGGAGATGAATTTATCTGTGCGGGGGTGGAGAGCTGAAGAACAGGCGGAGGGGCCTGGATTTGCAGCCTGGTTTCCAAAGATGTGGACCTTGGGGTCAGCCCTGGCTCTAAATCCTGGCTCTGTGGCCAGCTGTCTGATCTGGAGGGCGTTACTCACCCTCTCTGTGGTCCAAGTTTCCCTCCGTCAGGTGGAGGCTTGAGTGAAATGTTTGTACGGGCTTAGTGCAGACCAGGCCAAACACTCAGCTTTGCTCTGCTTTCATCATGGCCGCTATATAACAGCAGTCTCCATGCTTCAAAAATGAAATCACACCTTGTTCACATCCATCTTCAATCTTTTCAGTCTTTTTAGGTAGACTAAGTCTAGCTTTTCAGGGTCTCCCAATAGTATATATCTCAGACCTTTATCCAACTATAAGCCCCCAATCAAATATCCAAAACCTTCCTGAAAGAACACCCAGGCAGAGATGGTTCTTGTTCATGCCACATGTATGATATTCTTTTGGATAAAATGATAAACAAGTAAAAGACATAAAATCTTAATCTCCTCTAATATAATAGACCAGCAAGATTTGTAAATCTATTTTGAAACAACTATCTTTTCACATTAAAAATGATTCCAGGAATGTGTGTCTCATTTTCCTTCACATTACTACAATCACTTTCAGGTCTTGGGTAATTTCTCGACTGTGCTATGGCTCCAGCAGCTGTGTCTCATGGGAAATGCAGACACACTAGTCTGGCTGGTGATGGGGGATGTGGAAAGCTCACAGCCCCTCCTTGGACAGCCAGCCACATTGCTCCCCCAGAGCCATCAAAGGAGGCCCACCCATGAGGCTGAGGGTCTGGGACATTTCCAAGGGGTGGGTGCTCCTGAGTGTTTTCTCCAGGAGCAACCCTAACTTCTGGGCAGACGCCTGGCTCCAGCCAAGATCCTTGTCCAAGAACATCATGATCTCAGTCCCTGCTGGCCTCATGCTAGGACCCTCCCAGCTGGGGAGCCTCCCAGGCAGCAGTGGGGGAGAGTTCCACATGGTGTCTGATGCCCTGGACTGTCCCTAGTTCACAGCCTTGATAATAAAGGTGAGAGAGAGAACAGGAATTTGGCCTTGGGCCACTGTGGGTTTGTATCTAGGGTATCCCACACAAGATCTGGGATTGTTCAACCACTCAGAACCTCAGTGTCCTCAATTATAAAACAGGAAAGACCCCTAGGTATGGGAAGCGTCAACAGTGGGATGTGTAGATTTAGTGCTTGGTAGGTGCTGCCTGGTCAGTGGTGGTTAGTGTTGCTTGGACGATGGGATGGGAGCAGGGTCACTGGTTGGTGGGGCATACAGGAAGGTATGCTGGGGCCCTGGGGCAGCAGAAAGCTTTCCCTGCCTGTAACAGTGCCAAGAACAAACAGCTCCACAACACGCAATGGAATGAAACCAACCAAGGAGTGTGTGGTACCTTTTATTTAGTCAGTCTTTATTTAAACATGTGCTTTTGAAATCGCTAAATATGACCTTTTCAGAATTCAATTCTCACAGTATTTACAGTGAACTTTGTGCAAACAAATCTGACTGTGAGCTTCCTGCTCTCCCTTTCACACTAATAACTTACAAATTCAGATTACAACAAAACCCCAGACTCTAGTTTTCTGTTTGAAAGGTACTGAGCTGGATAATGGGTTGCTAGGAAAGAGCTAAGGCAAGTCCAAAGGAAATAAAATGTTTTCTTTATCAGAAAATAATAATAACAAGACCTTGCTCTCCAAAGGAAAACATATGTCCCAAGATGTTGTGGAGTAGTATTCAGCAACCAAATACATTTCCAATGCTATTTATTTCCCCTTCATTTTTTTTATATTTATACTCATCTCTTAGTTAAATAAGCAAAACCAGAAAAGTGCAATTCGAAGGGACTCTAGACTATCAGGGAGTATTATAAAAATAATCTGGGCTGGGTGCAGTGGCTCACACCTGGAATCCCAGCACTTTGGGAGGCTGAGGCAGGCAGATCACCTAAGGTCAGAAGTTCAAGACTAGCCTAACCATCATGGAGAAGCCCTATCTCTACTAAAAATGCAAAAATTAGCCAGGCTTGGTGGTGGGTGCTTGTAATCCCAGCTACTCAGGAGGCCAAGGCAGGAGAATTGCTTGAACCTGGGAGGCAGAGGTTGTAGTGAGCTGAGATTGCACCACTGCACTCCAGCCTGGGCAACAAGAGTGAGACTCAGTCTCAATTAAAAAAAAAAAAGGTATCTGACTTCAATGACTAAAGAGTATGGGTCATCAAGCTGCCAGCTGCCCCCCACGTGGGCACTGGTCAGAGAGGCCACAGCTGCCGGAACCTGCATCAGGGCCCATGCCTGGCAAGGAAGAAACACGCACCTGGGCCTAGCCAAGGGCAGTGCCCTGCCTGGTAATTCTTTAAGTACAAAATCTACAAAGGGGACCAATCCTGGAGAACGCATTTCTCTTCCCCTCTCTGGCAGAGAAATATCTGGCTGAAGAAAAAGTACACAACACACAAGTATTGTAAAAAGGGAGGGTTCCTGTGGAAGGCAGTGACTCATGATTTAGAAACTGAAGTATAAAGAATACAGCTCAACAATTGTGCCTTGAATGTCTTGTAAAATATCGCTTTAAAATCCCATTTTAGATGCTTGATGTCTGAAATGAAACCATGGTCTTTTAAAATATTTTTGATTCCATGCCTTTTTATAAGTAAGATGAATTAACACCTCCATCATGCTAGTTGTAAGAGATTATTCAGGACCAAAGTTGTATAGGTTTTCTATGTTTTCACTAAAGACTGTGATGAGCAATGATAGAATGACAGCTTATTAGAAAACAAACTGAAAAAAAGTATGGATTGATTTGAGAATTTTTTCATGCATGAATCATTTGGAGAAATGATTATATCCTATGGTTATATCCTCCTACTGATAAAAGTTCCCCTCTGAGACTCCTGAACCCACGGTTTTGTGCCTGCTGGGCATCCCACTATGGTGATTCCTGCTCTAAAACACACTCACTGCAGGAAGCATTCACCCATGACAATTATGAAGGAACTGTTTTGTCTCTCACTCAACCTCTGGAAGTCAATATGGAACAGCCGTGACTCTCTCCAGAGCCATGTGTTTGCAGTTCTCCAGTGAGTGGGTCACACCCCATGGGTCCCCTATTCTTCGGGACCCTTGTTGATCCATCCTGTTCCCATTCAGTTGCTTGTTTGCTCAGCTGAATGTGGGAGGTGTGGGGGCCAAGCTGAGGAGCTGGGATGGAATGCAGGACAGGGAGTGAGGGGAGATCGAGCTGAGAGGGGCCACTGGATCCCGAGAGGTGTGGACGCATGATTTCAGTTCAAAGACACTGGGCAGAAACGAAGGACACACAATAACTGAAAACATTAATGTTACTTTCTGGGATCTCTCGGTGCGTTGAGTCATCTGTGTGTCTACCTACAGATGGGCAAAGCACTTTCCCACTCCGGCACCATTCCCGGTTCTACCCTGAGAACTCGGTCCTCCGTGAGGAGTTGGTGATGCCTGTCCTTTGAGCTCCCATTTAGTGGCTCATGGTGACCAGAGGCTCACGTCTGCAAGTTAAAATTGCTTTTATCAACATCTACTACAATGGCTCTGATTTCACATAAATAATCACAGACTTGATTAAAATGAATATATTATTCTAGGTTATTTTTTTTTCCATTCAAATGTTTATATTCTGTCTACCCAGAACAATTAAAACAGAAAAAACAGGCACCTCCAAAGTCTTCCCAAGAATGATGGCTTTGAAATGACATGTACAAACTGGACAAATGAGACGAATGACTGTGATGGGCGCCGGGGAGCTTGTTAAGGGGCTGTTTTCTTCAAGTCTCGGATCTGCTTAATCAAGTAGTTCTTCTCGTCAGTGAACTGCTCATCATCCGTCCTTTCTTTTTGGAAGCTGCTCAGAAACTCAATGAGTTTGGGCTGATTTTTTAACAGAATCTCCACAATAGGCTGTGTTTTGTGAGGACTGGCCACAAACACCTGAAACAAAAAGAAACAAATACTTAGGACAGGAGTGCTGTCCAGAAACACGCTGCTATTCGTGTTTCATGAGTGACCGATATTATTAATGCAGAGAAACCCCTGATTCTAATTCTCAGTGAGGGTGATCAATACAGTCACGTGCCACATAATGATGTTTCAGTCAACCATGGACCACATATACAACTGTGGTTCCATAGACCATAATGGAAATGAAAAATTCCGATCACCGTGTGGCATAGCTCCACGCATGTGCTCCTGTGTCTGGGTGATGCTGTTGTAAACAAACCTACTGCCCGGCCAGTCACATAAAATTCAAGCCCATACAAGTGTGCATGGTGCATAATACTTGATAATCAATGACAACGGTACTGGTTTATATATTTACTATACCATACTTCTAATCGTTATTTTAGAGTATACTCCTACTAATTAAACAAAAAGCTGTTAAACAGCCTCAGGCAGATCCTTCAGGAGGTATCTAGAAGACGGCATTGCTATCAGGAGGTGACTGCTCCATGGGTGTTATGGCCCTTCCAGGGGGACAAGATGTGGAGGTGGAAACAGTGGAGGCCGAGACTAATGTGTTTGTGTCTTAGTCTTTAACAAAAAAGTTTAAGAAGTAAAAAGTGAAGAACTATAAACCTAGACAAAAGCTTATAGAATAAGAATGTAAAGAAAGAAAATATTTTTGGACAGCTCTATGATGTGTTCGTTTTAAGCTAAGTGTTACTGCAAGAGTCAAAACATTTTAAAAGATTAAAAAATAAACTTTTTATAAAAGTAAAAAGTTACAATAAGCTAAGGTTATTTTTATGTATGTATTTATTTGAGACAGGGTCTCGCTCTATGGCCCAGGCTGAAGTGCAGTGGCGCCATCATCCTCGCTGCAGCCTGGGATGCCTGGGCTCAAGTGATCCTCCTGCCTCAGCCTCCCCAGTAGGAAGGACTACAAGTGCATGCCACTACACGTGACTAATTAATTTTTTTTTTTTTGTAGAGACAGGGTCTCACTATGATTGCCAAGGCTGGTCTCGAACTCCTGGTCTTGAACTCCTGGTCTCAAGCAATCCTTCCACCTCAGCCTCCTAAAGCTGTGGGATTATAGGCCTGAGCCACCATGCCTGGCCCTAAGGTCATCTTATTATTAAAAAAAGAAAAAACATTTAAGAAATCAATTTAGTGCAGTCTAAGCAGTTTTTATGAAGTCTACAGTAGTGTTGGGTAACGTCCTAGGCCTTCACATTCACTCACCACCCACTCACTCACTCTCCCAGAGCAACTTCCAGTCCTGCAAGCTCCATGCATGGTAAGTGCCCTATACAGGTGTACCATTTTTTCTCTTTTATACCATATTTTTACTGTATTTTTTCTATGTTTAGATACCCAAATACTGCAGTATTCAGCACAGTAACATGCTGTATAGGTGTGTGCTCTAGGCGCAATACCCTGTATTACATAGCCCATCTTACGTAGCCCGTATTACATAGCCTAGGTGTGTGGGAGGCTCCACCTTCCAGGTCTGTGTAAATGCGCTCTGTGATGTTCCTGCAAGGACGATATCACCTAGAGAGCGCTGTTCTCAGAACCACTCCCGCTAGTAAATGCCGCAGGCCTGCACTTCACCTTTCCTATCAGTCTCTTTAGTCACTAGCTAGGAGTATGTGGGAACTACATAGGAACATTCAAACTTTTACTTTGTTTTACTTTCAAATAGTTGTTAACTATAAAATAACAACAAATACCAGTATACTCACCTCATAAATTGAATACATTTTGCCATTGTGCTTCAAGTGTCTCTTTTTAAAGAAAGAACACGTTTTATAAATGGAACCAAACCCTCACCTTCCACCTTTTCTCTTCCCCCGCAGCAGTGTGCCACCATCTCCGGGCACATTTTAATGCCTATCATCCCACTACAGAGATACGTAAACATAAATGACATATAGTATTTCAGTAAGCTTATGGTTTTTAAAATTTTTTTTTTTTTTTTGAGATGGTGTTTCACTGTTGTTGCCCAGGCTGGAGTGCAATGGTGTGCTCTCGGCTCACTACAACCTTCACCTCCTGGGTTCAAGTGATTCTCCTGCCTCAGCCTCCTGAGTAGCTGGGATTACAGGCATGTGCCACCATACCCATCTAATTTTGTGGTTTTAGTAGAGACGAGGTTTCTCCATGTTGGTCAGGCTGGTCTTGAACCGACCTCAGGTGATCTGCCCACCTCGGTCTCCCAAAGTGTTGGGATTATAGATGTGAGTCACCTTGCCCAGCCCCATAATTTATTTTTTGAACGCATATCATTACCTGGTTCAAAATTCAAAAAGGACTAATATGAATAGTCCTCCTCTCACCTTCCCTCCCTGTAGGTCACCAATGTCACTGTTTGTCACGATGTAAAGCTTTAAAAATTACAACTGCCCAGGTCCTACTTCCTAGAGATTCTAACTCAGACTCAGCAGGTCTGCAGTGGATGTCTGGCATTCTGTACTTCTATGAAGTTCCACAAAGATTCTTATGAGAACTCCTGGTGGAAGCCATGATCTGATACTGACTGGTGCACTATTCTGTAATAGACACACTCCTTAGTTACTGCTACGTATATGACTAAATGACCAGAATGGAGAGCCCTACAGAACTCTCTGGTGTGATGCTCTGGCCTCTTGCCTCTGCCTGGCACTCCCTCTGCCCACCTCATCCCTGTCACATAGCTGCACAGTGCCCAACTCTACAGGGAACACACTATGAAAGGGCTTTATGGAGCAGTGGGGGTTACATGGCTAAGCCCTTAGGGTTCCTTGGCCCTAGCAAGTGTGGGGAAGGAGAAAACTGCACTAGGATGTTGAATTCCAATGCGGGGAATACAAGGCTGCCGAGGATCCTATCCCAGGAGGTGGTGATGAGATTACATTTCCAGGTTTGGAACAGGAAGGCTCGTGGTGTAGGCAGCATGAGAGCTAGTCCATGAGTCAGGCAGGGAATGTTTACAAGTGGTGGTGAGAAGAGCAGCATTCCAGGAATACCGAATTGTCCCAGTGCAGCTCTGAAGTGGGCAGGACAGGACGTGGGAGCAACAGTAAGAATGAGTAAGGGAACATGGTAGCTAAGGCGGCACCAGCTCTTGGACCTGGGTTCAAATTCCAGTTCTCCTACAGGTTAGCAGTGTATCCACCAGCAAAGTTTTGTTATCTAGAAATAAAAGGACCTCTGCCTGTCTGGGTGGACAGACTATGCTGGAGAACATCAGCACAAGTAAGTCTCCTGAAAGTCTTCTGTTGCTGCTGTGTGTAGGGACTCGTGCTTGCTGGAGGCAAAGTGCCTGACCAGAATTCAAGGCCTTACCACTGCCCCATCACCCTAATTCTGGTCAACTGTACACACGACCATGGGCTGCCAGTTCATAGCCCTCCAAGCTGGTTGTCTTCACTCACAGGGCTGTTTCACACTCATTGAACACTCCACTCTCACGACAGCCCTGAAGTATAAGAGCTTTAGCCTCATATATTAATAAGGAGACAGGATTAGTCATGTTAATAAACTTGACTGCATAGTATTATGGTTAACAGCACAGACTCAGAAGCACACATCTTGGGCCCAAATCCTAGTACCAGCTCTTATTAGCTATATGATCCTACAAAACTTGTTTATCTCTCTGTACCTCAGTTTCTTCATCTGGAAAATGGGATGATGACAGTACCGACATGCCGTTAGATAACTCTAAGGCTTAATGAGAACAGGATATGTATTCTACTCCATGCTTTCGAATGGTGCATCATATCTGTGATATAAATATGATATATAAATTCTTCATGTTTCTGTTCTTTCCATCAAAGATCATGAGCTCACTTACCCAGCAAACGCTAAGGAGTTCAGAGCCCTCTCTGGGAACACTGCACGTCCCTGGGGTCTTGAGCGGCTCATGATGAGACAGTCTCTTGCAGCCCACATGGCTTACTTACAGCAGGCCCACCCCTCAGCCAGGCCAAGGGACCCACAACAGGGAAGGAAAAAGGTCTCCTAAGCTTCCGCTTGGTGGGTCTACAGCCGTGAGGTGACAAGAAGGAACTGATCTTTGACCTTCTGGGTTGTAAAGTATCCTACGATACTTTACAACAAATTAGACAACCTAGACGATGACATGGCCAGATTCCTAGAAACATGCAGACTCCCCAACTGACTCAAGAAGAAACAGAGTCTGCAGACCTCTAACAGGAGATTGAATCAGTAATCAAAAACTTCCAACAATAGCAACAACAAAAGACCAGAACCAGATGGCTTCACTAATAACTTCTACCTAACATCTTAAGAAGAATTAACACAAATCTCTCTCAAATTCTTCTGAAAAATAGAAGATACAGGAATACTTCCTAACTTATTCTATGAGGCCAGTATTACCCAAATACCAAAGCCAGAGAAAAACAACACAAAAACTACATATCAGTATTCCTTATGAATAAAACTGTAAAAAAATCATTAACAAAATACTAGCAAGCCAAGCCCAGCTGTATATTAAAAGAATTCTATACCATGACCAAGTGGGATTTACTCCAGAAATACAAGGGTTCAACATAAGAAAATCAATCAATGTAACATACCACATGTACTGGGTTAAATTGTGTTCCCCAAAAAGATATGTTCAAGTCCTAATTCTCAGTATCTGTGAACGTGATTTTATTTGGAAATACAGACTCTCTTTACATATATACTCAAGATGAGGTCAAAACTGGCTTAGGGCGAGCTGTAATCCAATGACTGGTGAACTTTGGACACAGAGACACTTAGGGATATAGAGGAGAACCCCATGTGAAGATGGAGACAGGGATGCGTTTATAAGCCAAGGAGCACCAAGGATTTCTGGCAACCACCCACCAGAAGCTGGGAGAGAAGCAAGGAAAGATTCTCCCTGAGAGCCTCTAAAAGAAACCAATGCTGCCAGCACCTTATTTTGGATTTCTGGCCTCCAGAACTGTGTTTTCTGTCGTTTTAAGCCACTTGGTCTGTGG